CGAAATGGTGGAGCACGGCGAACTGCTTAAAGCAGCCGCTGTGCAAATGGGAGAACTAAAGGCAGCCTTAAATGACCAGCGGAGGATGGAAACGGCACCTGTCGTCGAGGGGCACAACGGCCAGAGCATAGAGATCCTTGCAGAAATGCAAGAGCTCAAGTCGGCGACCCGGGAGATCGGTAGACAGGTCTCCGAAATGAGGGCAGAAGTGCCTTCCTACGCGGAGGTCCTGTCGAAACCGAAGAGTGCAGGGCGGGTTACAAGACCAAAGCACTCGATCGTGGTGTCCTTCGGCGACGCAATGGAGACCAGCGGCGATGTTGTGGGTCGAGTCCGGCAGGCGTTAAAAGCGAAGGAGAGCGGCCTTCAGGTGGAAAATGTCCGAAAAGTCAAGGACTAGAGGGTGGTGCTGAGCTGCGCCAGCAAAGAGGAGCTAGAAAGGATGACGGCGCAGCTAAGGACCGACGGGCAGTTGCGGGTGGAAAACGCGCGTCAGCGGAATCCACTCGTAATTGTCCGGGACCTTCTGGCCTACAATACAGACGAGGATATAAAGGCCGCTCTTAAGACGCAGAACGCGCGCCTCCTTGAGGGTCTGTCAGCCGAAGAGTCGGCCGTGACCATCAAGTACCGGAGGAAGGCGCGGAACTCCCTGGAGAACCACGTCGTCCTCCAGGTCTCACCCCGGATGTGGGAGAGGCTGACCACGGCTGGCAGAATCTACGTCGACTTGCAGCACGTCAAGGTATTTGACCAGACTCCGCTGGTCCAATGCAGTCGGTGTCTGTCCTACGGACATGGGCGGAAAAGTTGCACAGAGAAGGTGGACCTGTGCAACCATTGCGGGGGGCCGCACCTCCAGGCGGATTGCCCTAGATCCGCCGAAGGGGGTGGTCCTTCCTGCATAAACTGCCACAGAAATGGCGAAACAAACACGGGTCACTCAATTTCCGCCCAGGACTGCCCTGTCGCCGTGCCTGTGCCGTTAGTTATTGCTAAGGTGGTGTTTGGCATCCCACAGGCAGATTATAAAACAGGCACCGATGCACGAACGGGTGGTTCCCCATGCGGAAAGAGTGGTGCAAACGTCTCTAAAAGGCATGTTACACATGGTGGAGCGTTTGCGTGAGAACGGCACGACAACGACGGAAAGCACCAAACCTCAGGGAATGTACCAAGCGACGGGCGGAAATATGTGGCGCTTAGTATTTATATTAGAATGATATATGACAGTAGCGCCAAAATATGTATATATTTACGTCTATATATGTATATCTATTATCTATAAATCTAAAAATTATCTATTTTATTTATAATTATATTCTTATTACTAAAAGGTATCCATTGAAAGGGCAGTAAAAACACGTTAATTCAGGTCTCTGATCACGTCAGAGGAGCACTATTGGCACAGCAGGAGGGGTTTTAGCCGGTAAGAGTCCGGCAGTACTCACACCTCCCTATTCATGGGGAGGTGTGAGTCTCCATGAGGATTTCCCCTCCTGCTGTATAAAAAAAAATAAAAAAAACCCGTATATATGCTTTTTTTTTTATGTTTGTTCGCCGATATCTCCGTTGTTTATAAACCGATTTTGAAAATTCTTTTTTTGTTAGAAAGGAGATAGTTCCAGAATGGTCCCATGATAAGGAAATCAGGATCTGATGATGGAAGACCAGGGAAACCGAGGGGAACTTTTAAAAATTATAGGGGTGACTAGGGCATTTGTTAATTTTTTCATTAAGTATTAAAAACCACTACAATCTGATAAAGGTCTGGAGCCGATCTGATGATGGAGCCGAGAGCCAGTTGAGGGAACTCCTCAACGGTTAACAGTAGCTACCTTGTGTTTGGGTTTGATTAATTTATATTGATGAGGACTTTACACCTGAGTGGGGTGTAATTGTCAATAAGGGTTTGATGATGAAGTAGTACGATAGTTGAGGGAACTCCTCAACGGTTGACAGTAGCTACCTTGTGTTTGGGTTTGATTAATTTGTATTGATGAGGACTTTACACCTGAGTGGGGTGTAATTGTCAATAAGGGTCTGATGATGAAGTAGTACGATAGTTGAGGGAACTCCTTAACGGTTAACAGTAGCTATTTTGTGTTTAGGTTTGATTAATTTGTATTGATGAGGACTTTACACCTAGATGGGGGGGGGGGGGGTGATGGTCATTAAAGGTCCAATGACGAAGTAGTATGATAGCTAAGGGACTCCTCAATGGTTAAGAGTACCCACCCGGTGTTTGAACTTGCATAATTTGTATTGATGAAAACTTTGCATCCATGTGGGTTTTGATACACTGATAGGTTAGAAGTCGGTGCCACAAACCCACAATAAAATATAAAGTAGACAAAAGTCACAGCTGGTATAATCCATAATAAAATTGTAAACAGCTCAATAATGTTAGGTATCTATTAAGGTTTTAATGAATAATTTTGTTTAAAACTTGTGGCACCGACTTCTAACCTATCAGTGGGTGTGTAAGCTATAAGTACGGATGACCACTAATAGTTTTTTTTTTCCTTTTTAGTTTTTACTTTTTGTTTGTCATTTGTTTTTTTGTAGTCGAGGGTTCAACCCCCGAATTGATTTCCACCCTTAAAGTTACTTTGGACCAAAACATTTCAATCAAACATTTTTTACTATTTTTGTATCAGACCTAGGGCGACAAAATTTTTACTTGTAAATGATAAATACCTAAGTAGCTACCAACTACCTAGTACTAGTACTACTAACTACCGAAGTATTGGTTTTTGGTCGAGTTATTATTAGTATTTACCTATTCAAAAAATTTACATAATTAATCATTGTAGCTATGCTATTTTAATTATAAGCATATCAATTCAGTGAAATAACATAATCTAAACAGAGTCGCGTGGTCGTTTATTAAAATGAATGGTAGTAACATAAGCGCGCGGTACCACGACACCTGCGTCAGCGCGGTCGCGCGGGGCTTCGTCGACGGCCTAGTACGGCGTACGGCGCGCATATTAAGCTGTTTACGTGTAACACAAATAGTGGAATAACTTTAAAACTTTTTTTCAAATTATTTTTTCGTGATTAATTATGGAATAAATGTTTCAACAAAACCTTAGATTTCCTAAAGCTAATTTATTAACACCTTATATAAATAATGTGTAGTATAAATAGTTTATGTTGATGTGTGATTTTAATTGGTAAATTATTAACAGTAGTAATAATTAATATGACGGCGCGTTTATAATTTTAAGATTATTGTTAATTAAGAGTGTATGTCAACCGGAAGTGTCGCTAACGCCATCTAACGGAAAGTCGGTTACCAACCACTCGCTCTGACGCAACACCGAGAGCTGGCGTGGGGGTGCGGACGGTGCGAAGCGACGAGCGAGGCAGTTCGAATCGAGGAGTCGACCAGTTAGCACCTATTTAGCAATACGTTTTCGGTGGAGTGTCTAAGTGTTAAAGTGATTCGTTATAAGTGTACTTTTGTTAGAATATTTAAGATACCGAATGATGTCTCGGACAACCCTGACGTTCCTTCAAGTACAAAAATTAAACAGATTAAATAAAAGTCATATAGGTCCGCATTTCAGCGCTGTTGATTTGGGAAGTAAACACAAACTCCTTGAGCTTTCTCCTGGAAGTACTTATAGTTTGCAGATTTCTGATTGGCGGAGGGATGTTGTTCCAGCACGTCGACGCCGCATACCTGAAGCTACCACTAAATGCAGCTGGTTTGTATCGGTATAGCGGTATAGCCAACTGCTGCGCACACCGCCTGCCCTTTCGCCGGCGATGCGCATTCCCTCACGAGAGCTTCGAGTAGAGGTGTGTATATATGTTTTGTAACTGGTTTTATTGAATGTAAGATTTTAACTTTATTATATTGTAAAACTTAACTTTGCATGCCGAAAACAGTAGGCGATGTATGTGGGACTATTTTTTTTTGTAATTATTACTACCTGTAATTACGATACTTCGTGCAAATAAACGTTCTTATTCTATTCTATGACGTCATGCCCGCCTAAAAGAGAGGGAAATCTCCCTCGCCTACTCAATCGAGTAACGTACAATCTGGCGTGCACTACAGCACTCACTCTTGGCTTGGACACCGAGCGAACAACTACGTACTAAGAATACTTCGGTCGATTAGTGATTGCGATCATTAGAATCAGTGTTGTAAATTTATTATCGAGTTTGAGATTATAACAGTGAATATTATTTACAATGAGTGGATTTTCTTAATAATAGCGTTTTTTGTATGGCCCCAAGATTATACAACCATTTGCCAAACGAATTGCTACATATACAATCTTTGAAGGATTTTAAAAATAGAATAAAAAGGTTTTTAATCTCTAAAGCATATTATAGTGTTACTGAGTACTTAGACGACAAAATATGATGTATTTTTATTTTATTTTGTTTAATAATTTTTATCTTGTTTTTATTTAACTATTGACATTCTGATTGTTTAATATTGTGACATTTAAATTTTTAATCCTATGTGACCTAATAATTAATAATTCTAATGACAAATCTTTGTTTCCAACTATATTCTAATTTTGTATGCTGAAAAAGCCAACATAGCGTTAAAATTGTTATATAAGACCCTAATGTTACCTATGTTCACAATTGAATAAATGAATTTAAATTTGGATTAAACTTTGATGTTCTTGTTAACCATGTTTAAACTTTGAAAGTGATTGTGAGCTCTGAGTTTGTTTCGGCATTACTTCTCAAAATAGTCGGTAGGAAATGTCAGCGTCAGCTTAACTAAAATTATTTAATTATGCGATGAAGTAATGGTGTACTGTTCGAAAATAAACATTCCTTTAATTACGAAGATTTTATTGTTTTATTACTTCATACAGATACCGCTATCGATATGTGTGACGAAGACGGCTTTCGCTCAATTCTTCCTCAGTCACTTGACAAAACACAACGCAAGTGTTGTTTCTCTATGGTTTTCTGCTCGGCCGTCGTACTCCGGTCGAGCCGGCCCAGCAGTGCTGAACCCTCCCACATTTACTATTATATCATTCGGAGTTAGATTTAGAGCTATTGTGTACATCTTGCGTTGTGCGTACGTAACGTACATTATCCAAACATGTACTGTTTGCTTTGCGAACTGTTTGATATAATTCGTACAAACTCTTTGTTCAATGCGTGACGTGGCATCAGTGGCATGTGTCAGTGTGTCAGTGTGTCAGTGTGTCACTCGCGCGCTACAGAGTGCTGCAGCGCCGCCCCGCGACTAGTTTTGTACGTTGTTTACTCCGCGACGACATTTTGATAGAGAACAGCATTTTGTTACGTTTACCACAAATGGCATCACATCAGTAGGACAGCGCACGCAGCCGCCACCATGGGGATCGTGCACGCGAAGGTAAGCAAACATTATACACACAGGCTTGAGGACCTGGATACAACACTGTGCTCCCTCTGTGCCTGGGTTTTGCAAGTGTGTGTGTGTGTGTGTGTGTGTAGGTGGAGCGCAAGTACAACTTCGGGGAAGACGAGGCGGGATTGCTCGACTACGACGAGCCAGACCTGGACGAGTTGCCAGTGCCGCGCGCCCCCATCGAGCTCAGCGGGGTCCGGGTGAGCAACCTTACTTACTACTTACTGATGAACGACGCAAGACTTTGAACAAACAAAAATACAGGTACATGGTATGTATGTATGTGTGTGTGCAGGCTCGCGTGGACCGCGTCAACGTGGATGGACTGAACCGCACGAAGGATGACGTGATCAGGGGCACCGTCGACGACCTGTTCAACGCGAAGGACTTCGAGGACGTCATCGTGCGCGCGCACAAGGTGACCACGGAGTGACGCGGCCAGCACACCGCGCCATCTGCTGGCGACCGGTGACTGTTGGTGTATGGTTGCAGGTGCGGCAGGCGCTGGACAACCTGGGCTGCTTCCGCGACGTGTGCGTCTACATCGACGTCTCGTCCGGACCTGAGGCCACACCGGATGGTCTCGAGGTACACATACACACACACACACACACACACACGCACGCACACACACGCACGCATACACACACACACACGCACGCACACACACGAGTCACACGATGAATAATAAGTAGATTTTAATCAGATGTATAAGTACGCTCGGAGGTGTTCATCTGTCCACGTCCTCCACCGTCCGGACAGTTCACTCAATTCATAAAATGGAGCTTCAAGCAGTGAATAGGATTTTGGTCGAGCCCTGTCACATCTCAATAAAGTAAATACTAAGATTGTAAAAGTGTTCGTAATGTAGTTGCGTGCGTTGTGTGCAGGTGACGTTCCAGGTGCGGGAGCTGTCGCGCGTGGCCGCGGCCGTCGCCACCGACGTCAGCGAGGACGAGGGCAGCGTCGTGCTCGGTAACTACAGCCACCACCACCCACATACACTGCACTACCACCACTAACGACTCACTCGTAGTTAGTAAAAATTACACAAACACCACGTACCACTACTGATAGATTGTACTGTAACAGTTTGTACTTTTTCCGAGTTATAATGTACTTTCTAAGATTATCTAGACCCCACTGACACTGACAAACGGTGAAGGAAAACATCGTGAGGAAACCTGGGCTTATAATTTCTAATTATAAGTTTGAAATCGCCAACCCGCATTGAGCAAGCGTGGTGATTAATGCTCAAACCTTCTCCGTGAAAGGCCTCTTGCCTTTGGTCAGCAGTGGACATTTCTAGGTTGATGATGAATGTACAGTTTGTACAATACAAGACAATGTTCGGATTGAGTCACGGGGTTCACCATTTACAGCACACGCGGCCAATCGAAGTACTTCGAACTATTGAAATTACAATACTTCTAGTTTGGCGATACTTATAGGTATAATTCAGGAGACAAAACATGGAGGACAGCTGTTACAAATAAACAATAATGACGTCGCTGCGCAAGTAGGTATTTCAAGAGAGAGAATGGTCAGTTAAAGGCCGGCCACAGACATTCAGCAAGTGATACAAAACGTTTATATTATACATCAGTGAGTAGTTATTATTGTCCAGGTGTGAAGCTACCGAACCTGCTGGGGCGCGGGGAGCGCGCGGCGGCGGGGTACAGTCTCGGACACCTGCGGTCCACCAACATGCACCTCGGGTTCACGAAGCCGCTGCTGCTGCGGACGTACGAGCCCGTGTTAGTGACACCCCACTGTTACCTTACTGCCCCAGGGCCAGTAGCCAGTACTAGCCGCCGTACTGCGGCAGTAAGACACCTTGGACACCATCGCCAGCTAAGTAGATACGTATCGAAACAGTTAACATTGAAATGTTTGGTCAGTTCAGTATCTAAACTCACTTGGCGACGCTGGAAGCGTGGCTGGCTGAATCGAATTGAATGTAAACAAGGAATTACCTCCATCATACATTCGCCAGTCAGCCACCATGTCGGACGTATTTTGAAACTACTTAACTGTAACATGTCGAAACGCTCTAGTCACTCGAATTGGCCACCTTCGGATGCAATAGAGATATAAGCAGTGAGTCTCCATGTGGTGTCTTAGTGGAGCGGAGTTGTGACGTGTGTCGTGTTCCAGGGTGTCGGGGTCGCTGTACCAGCGCGCGGCGGAGCACGTCAGCTCGGGCTACCGGCTGCTGGACCGCGGCCTGCTGCTCGACCTGGCGTTCCAGACCTCGCCGACGGTATTATGATGGCATCCTAAGTAATAATAGACTTTTCATTTTATTACTTCTTTGTCTTAAAAATCGACTAAACGACTTAGAAACGATGAAATCCAACTGACAGACAATCCACTATGAAGTTTCAAAGTATTTTGTTTAATTTAATGCATTTCCCTGCCTGCCTGCAGACGAAGCACCACGTGCAGTGGGAGGGACTGATGCGAGACATGTTCGTCTCCAACAAAACCAGCTTCAAGGTCCGGGAGAGCAGCGGCGAGTACATTGCCTACTATTACAAATGGTCGTCGCCTTCGTCTTCCACCATCACTCACGTCCTGACGGAGTCTCTCGCTCCAGGTCCGCAACTGAAGTCGATGGTCCGCCATATAATCAGCGTGGACCAGCGCGACGAGGCAGTGTTCCCGACGCGGGGAGCCCGGCTACACATCTGCAACGAGCTGGCCGGGCTCGGCGGCAGCGTGGCCAGCTTGAGGACCGAGCTGCATCTCCAGCTCAACCACACGCTGTCGCAGCAACTCGGACTGGTACGTAATCTACACTTCAATAGCCTGGAAGAATTTACCATCGCAGTGTATTAGAGAGCTGTGCTGCCTGATCTCTCATAGGTATACATTGTACTCTGCGATCACTACTACCTGATAAGTAACCTATTCACTCATGTCTTGAAGACAGCCACGTTTAAGACATCCTTCCGGAAACCGACTCTGGCAAGGAATTCCACCCCTTATTATATTGCCCGCCTTTCGACGGCTCCACTAGTTGTGTGTGTGCAGGTGGTGCAGGCTCCACTAGTTGTGTGTGTGTGTGTGTGCAGGTGGTGCAGGCTCCACTAGTTGTGTGTGTGTGTGCAGGTGGTGCAGGCTCCACTAGTTGTGTGTGTGTGTGTGTGCAGGTGGTGCAGGCTCCACTAGTGTGTGTGTGTGTGTGTGTGTGTGCGTGTGTGTGCAGGTGGTGCAGGCTCCACTAGTTGTGTGTGTGTGTGTGTGCAGGTGGTGCAGGCTCCACTAGTTGTGTGTGTGTGTGTGTGTGTGCAGGTGGTGCAGGCTCCACTAGTTGTGTGTGTGTGTGTGTGTGCAGGTGGTGCAGGCTCCACTAGTTGTGTGTGTGTGTGTGTGTGCGCAGGTGGTGCAGGCTCCACTAGTTGTGTGTGTGTGTGTGTGTGCAGGTGGTGCAGGCTCCACTAGTTGTGTGTGTGTGTGTGTGTGTGCAGGCCCCTCTAGTTATGTGTGTGTGTGTGTGTGCAAGTGGTGCAGGCTCCACTATTTGTGTGTGTGTGTGTGCAGGTGGTGCAGGCTCCACTAGTTGTGTGTGTGTGTGCAGGTGGTGCAGGCTCCACTAGTGTGTGTGTGTGTGCAGGTGGTGCAGGCCCCTCTAGTTATGTGTGTGTGTGTGTGTGTGTGTGTGCAGGTGGTGCAGGCTCCACTAGTTGTGTGTGTGTGTGTGTGTGCAGGTGGTGCAGGCTCCACTAGTTGTGTGTGTGTGTGTGTGTGCGCAGGTGGTGCAGGCTCCACTAGTTGTGTGTGTGTGTGTGTGTGCAGGTGGTGCAGGCTCCACTAGTTGTGTGTGTGTGTGCAGGTGGTGCAGGCTCCACTAGTTGTGTGTGTGTGTGCAGGTGGTGCAGGCTCCACTAGTTGTGTGTGTGTGTGCAGGTGGTGCAGGCTCCACTAGTTGTGTGTGTGTGTGCAGGTGGTGCAGGCTCCACTAGTTGTGCGTGTGTGTGTGTGTGTGTGCAGGCCCCTCTAGTTATGTGTGTGTGTGTGTGTGCAAGTGGTGCAGGCTCCACTATTTGTGTGTGTGTGTGTGCAGGTGGTGCAGGCTCCACTAGTTGTGTGTGTGTGTGTGCAGGTGGTGCAGGCTCCACTAGTTGTGTGTGTGTGTGTGCAGGTGGTGCAGGCTCCACTAGTTGTGTGTGTGTGTGTGTGCAGGTGGTGCAGGCTCCACTAGTTGTGTGTGTGTGTGCAGGTGGTGCAGGCTCCACTAGTTGTGTGTGTGTGTGCAGGTGGTGCAGGCCCCTCTAGTTATGTGTGTGTGTGTGTGTGTGCAGGTGGTGCAGGCTCCACTAGTTGTGTGTGTGTGTGTGCAGGTGGTGCAGGCTCCACTAGTTGTGTGTGTGTGTGCAGGTGGTGCAGGCTCCACTAGTTGTGTGTGTGTGTGTGCAGGTGGTGCAGGCTCCACTAGTTGTGTGTGTGTGTGCAGGTGGTGCAGGCCCCACTAGTTGTGTGTGTGTGTGTGCAGGTGGTGCAGGCTCCACTAGTTGTGTGTGTGTGTGTGCAGGTGGTGCAGGCTCCACTAGTTGTGTGTGTGTGTGCAGGTGGTGCAGGCTCCACTAGTTGTGTGTGTGTGTGCAGGTGGTGCAGGCCCCTCTAGTTATGTGTGTGTGTGTGTGTGCAGGTGGTGCAGGCTCCACTAGTTGTGTGTGTGTGTGTGCAGGTGGTGCAGGCTCCACTAGTTGTGTGTGTGTGTGCAGGTGGTGCAGGCCCCACTAGTTGTGTGTGTGTGTGTGTGCAGGTGGTGCAGGCTCCACTAGTTGTGTGTGTGTGTGTGCAGGTGGTGCAGGCTCCACTAGTTGTGTGTGTGTGTGCAGGTGGTGCAGGCTCCACTAGTTGTGTGTGTGTGTGTGTGTGCAGGTGGTGCAGGCGTGCGGCGCGGTGGGGTTGCTGCACGACGTGTACGGCAGCTCGGTGGCGGACCACTTCTTCCTCGGCGGCGCGGCCTCGCTGCGCGGCTTCCAGCACCGCGGCGCCGGCCCGCACTGCGACGGACACGCGCTCGGCGGACGGGTCAGTGCAACACTCGCATTACTCAACTATGACCCAATCCTCAAATCCCTAAGAATCCGTCAACTGACTCGTGATTCCTCTAGTGTTGTGGGTGTTCATGCAGCACCGACCGCTTACGATCATTATTATTCCATGAAAAAAACACTACGTTTGGCTGACGAGTTAGAGGTCGCAGTTTGAAGGATCAGGTTTATAGACAACACTAACATATACCCACTGGAAGAGTAGGAATGGTGTTTAATGTATTGTACTCATGAGTGGGTCGTACTGGTCTGTGAATGTCTGCTCGGTCCAGATGTACTGGGCGGGCGGCCTGCACGTGTTCGCGCCGCTGCCGGTGCCGGGCGCCGGTACTGGGCTGGGCGCCTTGTTCCGGTCGCATCTGTTCCTCAACACCGGCTGCGTCGCCTCCCCAGGTCAGAATCTACAATTACGATTAGGTACCTACCTCTCTCACTCGATAGCGTCATCATCTTGCAGTCAGCCACCCTCTGTCCACTGCCTCATGTAGTCCTCCCAATGATTTGTTTGTCAAAATATACCTATATACATTATATAATTATATGTAGTTGAAATATAACTCGACTTACTTACGTTGATTTTGTCGTAGTCTTAGATAATTCCATCGCAGTTTTCTGCGTTGCGTCGCGCAGATTCTACAGGTCCGTGTCATCAGTCTGATGGCTAGAGCCTACAACTGCCTGCAAGTAGCCAGTCGTTAGTCCGTGGCTGAGTAGCAAGCGTTGTTTACAGAGCGTGGCTCGTCCGGCGCGTGGTGGCGCGAGCTGGGCGCGGCGCGGGGCGCGGGCGGCGCGGGGCTGTGCCTGCGCCTGGGCCGCGCCGCGCGCCTCGAGCTCAGCTACGTGCTGCCGCTGCGCTGGATGCCCGGCGACAGGACCCACGCGGGCATACAGCTCGGACTCGGAGCTAACTTCCTATAGTTAGCTACCACGCGGTGACAGCTTGTCACGTCGAACGGAGAGACTGTCATCGACTTTGACGCCAACGATGCAAAGTTCAATCCTGTCTATATCAAGTTGCAATATTGGCTCTACAGCGACGTTACTACCGTGTGTCGTTGGCATAACATAACATAACCCTACAATATGTGACGCCTTCACCTTGACAAACCTAGCGCTACATTAGCGCCCTCTAGTTTACGGTAACGTATTTGTCGTGTTTACTATTTGTACTGTATACATAGTTGCTCGTGTTGGCGCCGCGCACTGCTGCACTCAGTGACTGTATTTTGAATTCTGTGATAATTTGTTTTAAATCATAATTATTATAATGTATTGTTTGTACTCTCGCTGTTTCATTCCACACAAAGCTCGTGAAAGAACGTTGATTCGTATTCGTATAGAATCATAGAACCAATAAACTAAATTTTTTGAGGGGACAAGTTTATTCAATGACTTCTCCCACGTAAGGCGTGAGGGGAGACTCTTACTGACTCAAAACCACCTCGTTCCTACTCCTGCACTTCGAGCTGGGGCCCCAGCGACCCGTTTGGTCCTCCGCGGCTTCGTATCAACATCAGCCCTATTGGGCCCCATCTGTGGTGGTCTGATAGCACTTCGAGGCGCGCGCCGTACGCTCAGCTCTGGTTCTGGTCGGACAGCGAGCTACCCATGCTCGCCGTCCGCAGGCCCATGCTTGCGGTGGCCGGAGGTCGTCGCGCGATCTCCAACGCCTGGAGCGTCTATCGCGAGCGGCGGCGTGAGGAAGTTCGTTCCCTCACGTGTCCCACCTTAGCTAGCAGCTTCGCAGGAGTACACGGCATCCCAGTCCCCCTCCCCCTCGCCCAGTACCATGGTCTGAACCAGAGGGCTTAGTACGAATTTTTTTTTCGTTGAAAGTAATCGACACGAGACGTCGTCTTCCGGCGCTCTGATTGGTTGCTTCATTGGAGCCGGCCAATGACAGCGCGCAACGTGTACTCGTTTTGATTACTTTCAACGTAAAACAAACTCGTACTAAGGCCTCAGTGCCAGACGCGAGAGGTCCTACTACTAATCTTTTATACTATTATATAAAGCGGAAGAATTTGTTTTTTGTTTGTTTGTTTGTTTGTTTGAACGCGTTAATCTCCGTAACTACAAGTCTGATTTGAATAATTATTTTTGTGTTACATAGTGCATTTATCGAGGATGGCTATAGGCTATGAAACATCACGCTACGATCAATAGGAGCTGAGCAGAGCGTGTGAAACCGCGCGGAAGTAGTATAAATATATTTGTAGTTGTACAGCGTGATAGTAGCTTTACGCCACAATCCTGCTGTACAGGATTACCTAATCCTAATGACTACAAGCTGACGTTATCCTACACTATCCTAGATAATCTAACACTTATAATATCCTATCCTATAGTTGCCTAGCATATAATGCGTATAGGCTTGGTGCTCTGTAGTATACTGGGATACAGACCAGCACTTCTACGCACCTACTACTAGGCCCTAACCTAAGGCACGTACTATCGTGGTACACTGTGGTATGCTGTGATACAGACTTACGCTTCGTACGCGCCTAATGCCCTAGGGCCCTAGTCCTACAGTCCTTAGACCCTAGCCCAGGGCCGCGCCGCCCCTGTGTGCGAAGTGTGCGGCGCACACAGGCGCCAAGACAATAGGGGCGCCGTGTCGCGCCACCACCTCTACTTGAATTATTTTTGTTACCTTAATTATTATATTTTTGGTAGTAGAGTATCGATAAGTAAGTAGGTACAATAGGCGCAACATAGGCCTTGTATACAACAAAACTTATATTACGCTTATTAAACAAGTCTCTCAATATTTATGTTTATTATTAATCACGTTTATGGTTTCATTTTACACTTAGGGTTTTAGTTTACATTACTTACGAGTTACAAGATCAACGTTAAAACGGCGGCAGATCTTTTGAACCACAGATAAAGTAGGTACCTACTAGTTATATTGAATCATAAAGGCGCCGACTTTGTATGAGTAAGTATGAGTGAGTTTGTGAACGCAACCCGATGCGATGCGTGCGAGGCTATAGGAGTAGGGTCACAGGGATTCCCCGATTTTAACGAACGAGAGAGTCAAGCTAAAACAAAACAATTGAACAATCATTTGATTGAAAGTGTGTGTAAGGTGCGCATTGAACTTTTTACTGACTTGGAAAAAAAAGGAGGAGGTACGTATGTTCGGCTGATTGTTTTTTTTTTCAGTACTCCGCCATATGTGAACCGATTTCGAAAATTCTTGTTTTGTTTGAAAGGGTATACTCCCGAGATGGTCCCATTTCCATGAGGTCAGGATCTGATGATGGGACCCAAGGGAAACCAAGGGGAACTTTTGAAAATTCTATGGGCGAGTACTGCGTCTATTTTGTTTTTCAATTACGATTTTTAAACACTACAATTTGATAAGGGTCTGGATTTGACCTGATGATGGAGCCGACAGACAGTCGAGGGAACTCCTCAGCGGTTTATATTAACTACCTTGTGTTTGTACTAAATTAATCAAGCCCAAGCATAGGGTAGGTGATAAAAACAGCTGAGGAGTTCTCTCGATTGTCTGTCGGCTCCATCATCAGGTCGACTCCAGACCGTTATCAAATTGTAGTGTTTAAAAATCGTAATTGAAAAACATAATAAACTCATTACTCGCCCCTAAAATTTTCGAAAGTTCTCCTCGGTTTCCCTAGGATCCCATTATCAGATTCTGAGCTCATGGAAATGGGACCATTTCGAGAGTATACCCTTTTAAACAAAATAAGATTTTTGGAAATCGGTGTACAAATGGCGGAGTAATGTGCGAACAAACAAAAAAAATCAATCAGCCGAACATAGCACCTCCTGCTTTTTTGAAGTCGGTAAAAAAGAGGCGCTCCATCGATTCCGCACACAGGCGCTGCCGGGGGTCGTCGCGGCCCTGCCCTAGCCCTACCATACGTATTTATATATACTTATGTAGATAGGTGCTGTAGTCATGTGGATGTGGAGCAACTTCCGTTGGTCTGCCTCTTCCTAAACTACATGATGGTGCACTGTGCAGGAGATTCTTCTTTCCCCTCGCAATTTATCTGGGGTTAGCGTCACGTGCAGTCTTCAGATGAATATCGGTATTTTACGTGACCCGACCATCTGCCATCCACTTACGACTTGACTAAAACTGATCCCTGATACCAGATTGTAAATTAGACCTTGGCAATAGTCTTAAAAAACCTGCAATGTGGAGCAATGAGGGAGACGTCTTGTTGTTACAAATAACTGTAATTACCCGTCGGACGTCATCAGACGTGAATCTGCGGACACCGCACGCAGCAGAAGCAGCATTCAGGGACCTATCTCACCTGCCTGCCTACCTCCAGCCGACGGCACGGAATAAGATCCAGGACAGTACCGCTTTACCGGAGAAGTAGAACTCGGCATATGGCCTTTGACACCATCCCTGGGTGGGATATTGTTTTTTTATTGTTTTAATATACACTCTTGTTAACGGATTGAGCGTCTTTGTTTTTTAAACATACTTGACCGTTACAAAGTGTCCTTATATCTAACTTACACTACTTACTTATAGGGCGAGGTGTCACACACACTACAAAGCGAGTGCTGTAGAAGTTTGCAAGCGACCAATAAAACACACTGAACAAACAATATAAATAAGTTTATTAAACAACACTAAGTATCTCTATATATTATACTGTATGACGCTGGTGGCGGGCAGGCGGCTACCAGATGGGTTTGTTGAAGACGTCCTGGTAGTGCAGCTTGGTGTTGAGCATGTCGTCCGGCGACATGTTCGATATAAACAGCGGCGGCATCAGCGCGCCCGCCACCGACCTGCGGTACCACAGAAATATTAATAATCTATCTAATATTATAAGCTGAAGAGTTTGTTTTTTTGTTTGTTTGTTTGAACGCGATAATCTCCGAAACTACTAGTCCGATTTGAAAAATTCTTTCTGTGTTAAATAGCCCATTTACCAGGAAGGCTATAGGCTATAAAATATTACGCTACGATTAATAGGCGCCGACCAGAGCGAGTGAAACCGCGCGAAAGTAGTTAGTACAACAATACAAGGTGTAGTTTTAAAACCGTGTCATTTCTCGGGGGCATGTCACAGAAGTCATAAAGGTTCAATGTAAGAGAAAATGTCGGGCCAATAGTTAAAATACGGCTATAATAAATCGTTTAAGTTCGACAGTATTTCAGAATAATCGACAGCAATGTTTCTTATTGGAGTTTTATGGAATTAGGAATAACATCAATTACGTGTTTGAGTTTGTGTGTGTTAAGCCGCGTTATAATTAAGTTAAAAGACGGCGGCGTGTAGTTCGCACTTACGGATTTCCGTAATTTCAGAAAAATGAAAAATATTTACGTACAATTTTTTTTATTGATTTGGACTCAGAATCAATAGCGGAGTTACCCCCTAGAAAATGACGCGGCTTTAAAACAACACCTTGTATATTGCAAGACGTCCACTGCTGAATATAAACGTAGGCGAATGATTTCAAAGTGACTTTATACAGGGGGCTTCAGGTGTCGTATTACGATACCTACATTAATTATTGATTTTTAATTTACGCCCCGGTATGAAGCATTACGCTGTTTCTTTTCTTGGCTAATACAATATAACATAACATCACGCCTTTTATCCCCAAAGGGGTAGGCAGAGGTGCACATTACGGCACTTAATGCCACTGTACAATGTAACACCCATTTTTCAGTATTTATGTTATGAGTTGGATGTAATAGGGGGGTGAGCCTATGGAAATCCTAGTGCGGGGCAACGTTAAAAACAGAAACGTTCCAAAAGTGCCCCGACATCTTGTGTCCCGGCGTAGTGTAAGCCGGCCGTGTGTGTGTGTGTGTGTAGTGTATACGTGTAAATACATGAGTGGCGGTAGCTACCTGCCCTCCGAGTTTAAGAAGTTGAATGTGGAGCAGGCGTGCTCGGTGGGCAGCACCTCCGCGTTGAGTCCGAGCGCGGCGGCCGCGCGCCTCACCGCGTCCGCGCGCTGACGGTGCTTCGCTTCTAGACCTATTACCTGCACCGCGGCATTACAGGACCAAATTAATTTAAATTCTATATCAAAAAGATATTAAGCCCAATTTCTTCATTTACGCCTTCATTAGGAGAGAAAGTGTGGGAGAGCCATGCTTCGGCACTACTGGGCCGGCTCCACCGGAGTGATACTACCAATGAGCAGAATACCGTCGTGTGAGTGAAGTTACCGGAGGCCCAATTACGCCCCCGCCCATTTCCCTAATCTCTGAATCCCCAACGACACTCAATTATTTGGTGACAAGTTCACAACACGATAACTGAAGTTGCTACCCCTTGTGTAGCACGTACTTGGCATCATCATCATCACTCCTCTTAGTCTTCTTGTTATAATCACTACATAGTTTAAATAAAGTCGCTATCCGCCGTCTGTCTGTCCCTATGTATGCTTAGATGTTAAAAACTACGCAACGGATTTTGATGCGGTTTTTTTCAATAGATAGAGTGATTCTTAAGGAAGGTTTATATGTATAATACATACATATTGGTACCCGAGAGAAGTCGGGGCGGGTCCCTAGTTATGTATAAATGCAATACATTCAAATGGAGCAGACACTTTGACGGTTCCAACAGTAAAGGAACTAAAGGCCTTGTTCATTTTTGTAAAACATAGCACAGACAGTGTTTTTTACTTTCTAAAATGTTCGATCCGTTGTTGACAGTACAGTACGAGCTGGACTAACAGAGGGCTTAGTACGAGATTCTTTTTCGTTTGAAGTAATCGTAACGAGTACGCGTTCGGCGCTGCGATTGGCCGGCTCTAATGAACCAACCAATCAGAGCACAGTGCGCCGTCTCGTTTCGATTACTTTAAACGAAAAAGAAACTCGTACTAAGGCTACAGAACAAGACCGTGGTACTCACGAGCAGGTCTATCTTGGGCACGAGCAGCTTGAACAGGACGAGCGACTGCTCGGTCACCTGCGCCGCCTCCGTCACCTGCCACGACATCACCGTCCTGGCACGGAAACATAATCTCACATACAACGGGCAATGTCTTAAGTATATACTTACTAGGTTATGTATCAGATTTTCGATACATCACATGTTAAATGTTGACCATACAACAAAATGAAAAAGAAAAATTGTTGTATTGAAATAATTCACATTTTTTAAATAAAATTTCTATTATTAACAGTTTTAGAGCGATGCTGCCTGCTCTTGTGAAGCTTTTATCAATGAAGTTGAACAAACGCAGTGAAGTATCGAAAATTCGATCCATAACACACTGTAGGTAGGTGCCATAAGTACTGACCTGGGGAATATGGCCATAGGCCCCAGCACTGTGAGCCCGTTGTTCAGCTTGAACCCGTACTATGGACACACATATTATTTTATATTTAATAATACAATTCATTTCCATCTTCACTAAATAGTACAAAACAAAGTCGCTATCCGCCGTCTGTCTGTTCGTATATATGCTTAGATCTTTGAAACTACGCAATGGATTTTAATATGTTTTTTTTTTATAGATAGAGTGATGCTTAAGGAAGGTTGATATGTATAATATATACGTATTGCACCCTTGCGAAGCCGGGGCGGGTCGCTAGTTAAACATAAAAGTTGATTAAAAGCTTGCTTCGTAGACTCCTGACACTGAGGCTATATTTAGTGTTTCAACATGCAACAATTCTGTTCAGTTCTACGACCATAAAGAAAGCATTTCAAAGCACTATCAAAGGGCTAGGCGAGGGATTTTGCTGTCTCTTCTAAATAAAACTGATGATATCTCATATGAAGCTAAAAAGTATGTTTGTTTCATTGTCACACTAATCTCCGGAACTAGTGGTCCAAATAGAACATTTTTTTTGTGTTGGGCAGTGCATTTATGGAGGAAGGTTACAAAACATCATGCTGCGATCAATAGGAGCTGAGCAGAGCGGGTGACACCGCGCAGAAGTAGCCGGTAATAATATACAGGGTGGAATTTTGTAATTCCACCTGAAGGGGAACTACTCTTAATACTTATGAAAGAAAATTTTACTCAAAGAAAACATTTCTTCATTTTTGAATAGAAATAAAACTGCATTCAACGATTTTTTAAAATTAGCTTGCCTCACACAATATCAAATCGACTAAAATCTGTCAAAGATTGCACCCTGTACTTTTATTGCATCAATTGTTCATTGTTTTCCTTTCATTAAATTTATGAAGTTTGTTAGAGTTTGTTCTATCTTAAGTATTAAGAGTACTTCCTCTTCAAGTGGCATTACAAAATCCCACCCTGTATATGTCATAATATACAGTAGCGTAGTGCGTGCAGTCACCGTGGCGTATGTGTCTATCATGAGCCCAGCATCCTCCTCCTGGTTGATGACGCGCACCGTCGTCTTCCCCTCACCCTCGTATGCTGCCTTACTACGCACTGCACTGCAATACATACAACCAGGCAATATTATTTCACAACTATACAGAGCATAAACAGCACACTACCGAAACACAGAAAAAAAGAAATTGCTTTTTTTTATGGAATAGCAGGCAAACGAGCAGACGGATCACCTGATGGTAAGCGATCAGCGCCGCCCATGGACACCCGCAACACCAGAGGAGTCACAGGTGCGTTGCCAGCCTTTAAAAAGGAATATGCTCTTTTCTTGAAGTTTGGAAGGTCGTATCGGTTCGGAAATACCGCCGACGACAGATCATTCCACAGTATTGCTGTGCGAGGCAGGAAGCTACGAGAGAAGCGCACAGTTGTGGCCTGCCAACCATCTATATGATAGGGATGCATATTCTGTTGTGAGGTTCGATGGCGAAAAGATGCGGCGGGTATCAGGTATCTATTTTAAATTGTTTTTGTTTTCTTGTTACTCATACTCATACTATTATTACATAAAAGAAACATTGAATTCCATACTTCATGAAAATAATACTCGTTTTTTCACCATCGCCTGTCAGCGTTTTTGGGGAGCGCTCTGTATACACACTATATTGGACCTAATTGGATTTTGTATCTATATAATGTTGAGTTTGTTTCAAATTTCATAGTTTAATAACATACTTAACTGGTGAAACTAAAAAGTTATAGAGCTTGTACTGTGACCGGTCGAAGCCTTCAAGGAATTACAGGAGGAGATTGTACTTGTACAGCTCTAACTTTACTTTCTATATTTATAGTAAGATATTAATAAGTTTTTAATTCATAAACTAAGGTTGCGTCCTGGCCAAATAATTACTTAAACAGCGAGAAAAATACTGTTTATATGAAAACTAACCTTACTACAGGACTTGCATGTTTCAATAGTTTCGCTCGAGCTATCGTGTTCGCTAACATTGTATCACTGTGGTTCGACTATTACGCTTAACTTTCCATCAATTCCTATCTAACAATAATATAATTACACTAACTGTTCAGCCGACAAACTAGCAACCACTATTGTTATTATTCATCGTTACATAAAGTCCCCAATGTCATTGCAAAAAGTACTTTGTCTCTGTTTGTCTTGAGTCTTACGTGCGAGAGTAACAGAGACAACAACATACTTCATGCTAAATTTCACTACTCTGTAGAGTTTGACGTTGTATCTGTCAAAGTTCAAGTACTGATAATGTCAAAATAACTTTTTATTTTACGTTTAGAAATATTTTGGTTAAAGCCCTGTCCTAAAAACCTGGGCGTCTTCAAGGACCAAGTAAATAGGTTGCTGATAGGCACACATGATCCATCATAGATCGCATCATCACTTAACAGTGGGATATGGAACAAAGGGGGACCCATTCTCAAAATAAAAAGTAGGGCCTTTCATGTTTCTTGGCTCTCTCCGTGTTTTGAGAGTCTGTTAACCGAAGAATTTAAAAATAGGGTCTGTGTAAATAAGGTCTAAGTCACATCTTTAGTAATATCTGTCTAAAGATACCTCCTTTATATCTGTCTAAGGATAGGTATCCTTCCTATTTAAGGAGATCCTTTATATCTGTCTAAGGATACCCGACATTTCTTTTAAGGGGCTGTAGAAGGGCGATAAAAAAGTGAAACAACTGAATAGTTTTATTTTCATTTTATTTACTTACCCTAAACTTATGAGTTAGTTACATACATTAAACTAATAAATATTTAAATAATACTAAACTAGACATGGTCCCTTAAAGAAAATTATGTACTTATATAATTAATTAGGTACTTATTGTGTATCTGCCACACTCGGAGACATTGAATGAGTACTTGAACTATTCCTTGGTAACAAATTTGTTCCGTAAACAATTACTGAGGACGGGTTAAGTCACCATTCAATGACTCCGAGTACGACTGTAAGACAAACAAAACTTGTAATACTTTGAATTATTAAAAATCAGCTCGAAAATAAATCATTACATAATTTAGATGGCGCCATATTGACACAGATCAGCGCTTACTTCGTTCTTTATAATTAAAAATAACTAAATTTATTCGTAGTCGAGAGAGACTCCACATCACAGACGCACACTTAATGATATTTGGCTTTGAATTTTAAATAAAACATCACACACTAATCTAAAGTACACAACGCGCGCTTGTAACACGTTACTGTAACAAACACTATGCAACATGTAATGTAACGCGATGCAACGCAACGTGCTACATCACACGATGTTGTGTTAGAGAAAAATTGAACTTTATAATTATTGACAAAAAGTTCTTAATTGAAATACTTAAATCTAATGTCGTGAGTCTATTACTTAAACTTAGGTAGTAACTAAACAAGGGGACGATGTTGCAGGCCTTGCAACATCAATTGATGATAACTTGAGGGAAAGTAATGGAAAATCAAGTTTTTAATAGAAAAGTTAGAGTTAAGACAATGAGTCGTAATGTTGCAAGCACTGTTACACCGTGTAACACTTTACAATGTAGCTGGCAGAGCTTGTATCACATGTACTACTTACAACTACGTGTATAAATAGGAAACATTAACATTTGTACATTATAAGAAACAGCCAGAAGTATACCTACTTACATGTAGTTAGTCGCAATCATTTTGAATCTGAGTACGTTACATAATTAGATAAGAATAAACAAATAAAAAATTTCGACTTTATGTCAACCACATAAAGTTGTTAATTAAACATTACCAATAATTTGGTACAATCTTTTTACAAAACTTCATAATTATAATAATATTCAATAGACATTTTATTTGAGTTTAGCTTCGACTGGCGATTACGATATCTACCTTCAAATAATTTTAACAAAATATTGAGGGAAATACAATATTCCCAAGTCACATAAAAAAACATCATTCTATCTCCTTCTGTCTTTGTACAATTAGACAGAGACAAACATATCTTCATCAGATACTCGTTAAATATAAAATAAGTAACATTACTTATCGTCCTAACTTAGAGTAGACAGTCAAGATCACAGATACGATATAAATGAACATGTTGCAGGGTACGTTGCACGTTGCATGCTACAGTACCCGCAGTGTCAGTATAGTTACACGTTACGTGTAGTGCGTCGTTGCGCGTCACGTTGCAGCGTCGCCGGCTTGTTGCTGCAACAGAGTCCAGTACAGACCGCGACGTTTCACGAGCTCTTCGTGAGTACCACTCTCTGCCACTACACCTGGAATATTAATATTTGTGTTACACACAAGCACAATACAAATAAAGAAATGTGGAACCTTTGTGGAACACTAAAAAAATAATTACATCATTAAACATTAAGGTGGATGCTAAACTAAAAGGTAGACCGCGAAATATTTGTTTTGACGTTTCTCTAATGTATGGCTCGATATCTGATAGTAATTATGATGATAAAGTATATTATATTCGCAACATAACTCTATGACTTTTCCACGATGACAAATTAATGTACTATTTTAGTATAAACTTGACCCCTTGGGAAACGACAACATAACTCGAGTCCCATTGAAACTAGTAAGGATTTCTTCAATTGAGTCGTAATTTGAATGAGTTGTATAGAAATATGTTTACCTTGATCAATGACACAGATGAGGTCGGCATTTCGTACGGTGGCGAGCCTGTGCGCGATGATGATAGTAGTTCGCTCCGCCGCCGCCGCCTCCAGCGCCTCTTGTACTGACTGCAGCAAACATTATTGGTCTTAGTATACTGCCTGGAGGAACTCCATGACGGGACTTCTAATTTAACTACGTAATAAGACACATAGGCTTCTCCGAAAACTTGTTTTTATAAACGTTTAATCCCATGTTTTTCATTCTAAATCGAAGTTGTGTTTACAAACATACAACTTCACATACACCCTGCAGTTTGTATAAAACAAAGAATTTTATCGTGTTGGAATCGAACCTACGACATATTGCACTACAGTTGGTGGCCACAGACCACAGTTTAGCAGTAGACTATCATAGACTGCACTTTGGTGTATCATTATCATAGCCCTTGTTTACGGGAGATAATGATACCAAAGCAACATTGACGATCAAGCATCGAAAGCCTAAGACGAATCATAAATGCATTATTGCGTCAGACTTCATACTCGTTAGTTACGATTTTGTTCTGCAATCCATTGCTAAGGACTCGGTCAAGGTTCAAAAGCATTTATTTCAATTAAACCATAATTTGGTATTTTTGAACCGTCAACAAAGTTTTTATAAATAAATAATAGTCTGTCAGTCTGGCCATCAGTGAAGCTAGCTACTCGTTCCAAAATAGGTTTAGATATTTAAACGTGAATGTGTATTATTGTATGATTTACCTTCTCACTGCTAGCGTCGAGTGCCGACGTGGGTTCATCCAGTAATAATATTTTGGGGCGTCGCAGTAGTGCTCGCGCTATACCGATCCTCTGTTTCTGTCCCCCAGATAGGGACGCTCCGCTGCCGCTCCCCAGTATTGTGTCGTAACCCTAGGGGAGGATAGTAAGGTTAGTATGGTGCTAGAATAATGTTGACTGTGGTGTTCCTCAAGGTAACGTCCTGGGTCCTGACCTGCGGCAGCCCCATGATGAAGCTGTGGACGTTGGCCTGCCTGGCGGCGTCCATGACGTCGTGCATGGCGGCGCGCTGGCCGGGCTCGCCGTACGCGATGTTGTCCCGGACGCTGGCGGAGAACAGCGCCGGCTCCTGCTGCACCAGCCCGAGCTGCGCGCGCAGCTGGCCCAGCGTCAGGGTGCGCTTGATGTCCTTGTTGTCTATCGTCTGGGATGGAGGATGCATGTTACATTCTATTAGTATGGAGAGTAGATGTAGAATACAACTATGTCTCTACTCTACTCTTCCCGTGCGTATCGTAGGAGTTAATTTAGGGACATTTTACAGTCGTTTAGAAGAGGAGACCTATTGTCCAGCAATGGGTCGCTAATATCTGTGCCTTTATAGAACGACGAACCCATTGTGCCACGATTTCGTCCGCGTTAATTAATGGCGAGACAATATTTTAAAACGTTTTATAGGTTGTTGTTCAGTAAAGATGCGGATTTATAATAATAATAAAATGAAAATGAAATCGGCCTTCAGTTTTGGCGTGAATACATTACAAACGTACACACAAACGTTCGCATATACAATGAGTGATAGACTGACCACTGTCCCCGCGCTGGGGTCGTAGTTCCTCATGAGTAGCTGCAGCAGGGTGGACTTCCCGCAGCCACTGTGGCCCACCAGCGCCGTGCTGGACCTGGCCGGGACCGACAGCGACAGACCGCGCAGCACCGGGCTCTGTGCCCGGGTCGGGTAGCTGAACGACACGTCGCTGAACGACACTGTGCCTTCTACGTTCTGTGGGAACAATATATTACATGTTAAGAGTCTGTTGAAAGAAAATAGTTATTGTAAACATAAGTAATTAGATATAGATGTTGAGATGAGTTTTAAATTAAGACCACCAAGGCCGGGTGACTATTGGCGACCACGTAGTGAATATAATTTGAGCATCATCTAACAGATGGCGTGCATAAAAGTCTCCAATCAAATGTTTGGGTCTTGAAGCTTTTTCGATAATCTTCCAACTGAGAATGACAAAGTCATTGGTAGACGCCTATGTCCTATATGTTACGACGACAAAGATATAAATCGATGAATGGTATGTACCCAGTCCGGTATGTCCTCGGCGGTGTCCTCAGTAAGTACGCGGGGCGCGCGTCGCAGCGCGGCCAGTATGCGCGCCCCCGAGCGGCGCGCGGCCGCGAAGGACGGCGCGAACGACAGCGCGGCCGCCAACATCCACGCGCCGTAGATCAGCGCCTCCGACACGCTGCGGGGACAGTGACGTTATGGACACACTCACTCATGATCAATATACAGGACTTCATTTATGGCATCATTTTCGGGAAGTACTTCCTCGGAAATGATGGGGCAATCAAACCGCTTGCATTATTGAAATATCTCTCCAGAAATGACAGCGCGATTAAAATATGAATAAATGATTGTGTCATCATTTTTGGGAAGCCGGTGTTCACGAATATGATAATATAGTATTATACTCACAGTATAGCGTTTTGATAAGGCAGGTCCTCCCTGGCGATGAGGTACCCGGCGTACGCGAGCGACACGGCGTACCCGAGGGTGGGCGCGCAGACGCAGGCGCCGTAGACGGGCCCGCGCACGCGGCGCGCCGGCCCGGCCGCGCCCGCGCCCTCCGCCAGCGCCGCGCTGTAGCGGGCCAGGATTGTACGCTCCACGCCTGCGCAGTCAAACGATATGTAAAAACAAACTGTAGCAGATATATTCCAACTCCACACACGTAAAACCTCCGGTATTCACCAACCTCAGACCATGGTTTTAAACTTAGATTACGAAATCAAATTGCATTGTTTCATTTTAGAATCATTTCCGGGAACCTTATGCCCGGAGAATGATGGCGTAAATAAAATTTTTCTTTGCTTAGCTTGGCGTCATATTCGGGTAGTTTGATAAATTTTATTTTAATGTTTGTCTGGTACATTAATTTAAAAGCTTTAGACACGTATTTTTTCTTTCCTCAAAAAATAAAAATTAAATACTTTAGACGATATATTAATTTGAAATATCGTGTGATGTCACAGCGTGTAACTTTTTATTATACGTTATGACGTAACGACCTCCCATTCCTAAACTTAGAGCCATTTAATCTAAGTAGAAACTACCCAATTTTCCCGAAAATGACTACGCAACAAAGCCGTTTCCAACATAGTCCGCAACGCACTCGTGTTGCTTCTAGTATTACAGATCCTACATAATAAGAATGTTTTTATAATAACTATCGTGAGACATACTAAATTAAGTAAAATCGCGGAATCATGAGGAAGAACCCCTCTGTGGTTCGAAACTAGTAGAGCTTTTCTCAGTATAATCACGTGAGTAACCCGCGATTTTACTTAATAATAAGAATGGTTCAATCTGAACCAGTAGTTCCGGAGACTAGCGCAATCAACAAGGTATATTATTATAACTCACCAAGACTGTGTACAGTGCGTACATTGAGCACTGCCTCAGTGGCAACCCGACTGGCTTGCTCCATGGCGGCCCGGGTTCGAGCCTCCACCCGTCTGTTCACCCAGCCTTCCAGGTAGATACCACCCATTACCTACATACAAAACAATATTCAATAAGTCATCGTTTTATACTCAACAGATGGCGCCAATCTAGCAAAATACTAATGTACGAGGAGTCAAAGACTAGATTATTTAAGTATGACGGAGAATCTGCCGGATCGGATGTTCTGCCGGTCCTCATCTCAAGTCACTTGCTTACTCTCTTACTATCCAGATGGCGCGAATATAGCAAATATCTAATGGAGTGACGCTATAATGATACAAGTGTCAGTTTGTCGGTTCGTTCTGTATGTCTGCGGTGGAGCATTATGTACTGCGGTCGAGCAACAAATTGACGTGAAACAACAATTTCTTTGTGTTTAGCAGTTTGAGTAAGTCAAGATATCAGAGGCTCAGTCCTTCCCCTCCCCCCTCCACCCTCGAATCTTCAACCCCCCAAAAGATCGGCAACGTACTAATAACTCCTCTATAGTTGCGGTGTCGACAGACGGCGCTGATTGCTTACCATCACGGGACCATCTTACTTCTTATCTTACTAATATTATAAAAGCGATAATTTGTGTTTGTTTGTTTGTCACTCAATCACGCCTAAACGGCTGAAGAGATCACAATGAAATTTGCAACAGGGGTAGATTATGTTCTGGAATCACAACATAGGCTACTTTTTATGTCATGGGGACGCGAGCGCGAGCTGGTAGAAACTAGTACCATATCTTCTATACATATATTAAAATTGTAGAAAAGTGCTGTCTGTACATTGAAAATAAAAATAAAAAAAATAGCAGGGGTTATTGTTATGTCGATGTCGAACCCAAAAATGTAATTAACTTTTTTTTCTCTGTTTATCTGTTTGTCTGTTCACGCTAATCTCAGAAACGGCTGATCCGAGTTGGATGCCGTTTTCACGAATATATTGTGGTATGCTTCAGTTATGATTTAGTGTTTGTTTTATGTCAATCGGTTCATAAATAAAAAAGTTATGTCAAATTAAAGAATCACGTCGAACACTATTCTATGCTTATACATACAAAATGACTGTGATTATGATCCAAAATAAAAATAAGTATATATTTCAAAAAAACGCTGCTCATAGTCACTATTCCACGCGAACGAAGTCGCGGACACAGCTAGTCTAATATATATACAGTATATACTGACACAGGGCACCGACAGCAGACTGACGAGCGTCATCTTCCAGGAGTAGAACAGAGCAAGCCCCACGCCCAGCGACATCGTACTGATTCCTTGCAGCATCGTACCCAGCCGAGTACCTGCGGGGACAATTACAACGTACGAGTTAATACACGAACAACGTAGTACTAGTCAAGGTACTAACCAGTATAACCTGAGCTTTCAATGCGCGCAAAGAATATACAATGCGAGACCACTATAAACTGGTATTTTGGTCAGTAGCTCTTAGACTATATGCAATAAGTAGTGGGTGCAGTAGTGAAATAATTACCTTACGAATAATGGAAACTAAAGTAACATTGTGAATTAAGAACGCATGTTAAATTTAAAAAGTACAAATATATAGAAAGAGGTGGAAGGGGAAGAGAGGGGTGGTATTGATGTTAAAATGAGGGAGAAGGGAGACGGGAAAGGAAAAGCAGGGGAAAATGAGAAAAGCGGGAAAACAAGGAAAAGGTGAAGGTGAAGGAATCAGGCAAAGGGGGCAAGATAGTGAGGGGACAGAGAAGGAAGAAGAAAAATGGGGAAGGTAGAAAGAAACGTAAATTTAGATGAGAGGTGAGAGATAAGAGAGGAGAAGACAAAGGAGAAAGTAAACGAGAAAAGCACAGAGTTCCTAACATAAAGGATGTGAGTAAATAGAGTCATATGGTTACCAGTAGCGCCCTGCACGGCGGCGCAGTCGGTGGCGAGGCGGGCGCACAGCGCGCCCACTGAGTTCTCGGTGCGGTCGAACCAACCCTGCTCCTGTACATATAAATATACGGAGTCATTACGCTATCTGTAGCGACATCTATACGCCATACAGTGAAAACAGAGCTCATATATAGACCAATAGATGGCGTTATCTGCAAAGTGATACGGTTGTCTCAAGTAAATCGTAAAGCAAATTTTTTGGAAACCAAAAGTTTCTGAAATGTTTGTCATGTTGAATTTCTAAAGCATTAACTTAACCTTTCATAATAAAAGAAGAGCACCAATATAACCTCCACAGTGTCGTTACCTTTTTTTTTAGTAGTGACTTTAGGGTTGAAAATTACAAGTGTTGTAGTGGGGAACGCGTCTATTTCGAGCTGTTTCATGGTTAGAACGGTTAAACAACTGTGGAGAAAGTGAAGTATAGTATAGAAGTACACATACCTGTAGTAGATAGTTCTGGAAGGTCATCTGGCGCAGACGGTCGGTAAGGCCCGCGCCGGCGCGGTTGAAGAGCCACGCCTGCAGGAACGTGAGCGCGCCGCACGCCGCCGCCACGCCCGCGAACAGCGCGGCGTACACGCGCGACTGGCGCAGGATGGCGCCGCCGTCCGACCACGAGAACATCTGCCGACAACACGACACGTCAAGGCGGCTCACACATTCGACAACGCGTTGGGCCAATATAGTGAATAGTAAATGTCCTTCTGTACATTTCAATAAACTGTAGAAATGCAACGACACCTCACACGCGACGGCACGACAGGGCACTGTCTGTATTATAATACTGATACTAGTAAAAGACTTTACTGACGAATGACAACAAACTGAATGAGACGCCAATGTGGAAACGCCGTTTGTGGAGCGCGCCAAGACCCTTTGATGTGCGTACGAAAATCCGAAAATACTCGAATGGCTGGCCAACATTGGCACCAAGTAGTTCTATACACATTGGTACAGCGCGCTGGCCCAATTTGTTGGCCCAATGTGTAGAGCCGCCTTAATATACTCAAAGTCAAAGCATTTATATCAATTAAACCATAATTTGGAAGCTAGGTGCTCAATCCAAAATGTAGATTCGAATGGAGAAGAACGAGCAAGAAACTCCATTCGTTGCTCGGATAGCCCGCTTTTGTAGAATAAATATTGATTCTATTTCTGCAGCTCGACCCCACAACAAAATGCCGTACGACATAATGCAGTGGAAATAACTAAAATAGACAAGCCTTGCTGTAAAAGCAGTAAAAGTAAAGTAAAAGTAAAAGTTCTGTAAAAGCAGCTAATCTCAATCTCCCCGAGAACGCCTTTAGGTATATGCGGACCCCATTGTAACCTATTGTCTAACGTAATGCCTAAAAATACTGTCTCGTCGACAAATTCTAACTTTTGACTGTTCAAAACAATATCGCAATCGTTACTACGCACGTTTGGTAAACTGAATTTAATACATTTGATTTTTTTGTCATTAAGTTAATGGTGATCCAATTATGCAGTCGAAGAATGGAGCTGTTTACGTCGTCAAGATTATTTGTACGTCGATCTATTTTAAAAATTAATGATGTATCATCTGCAAAAAGCACCATTCTTGGTTCATTTTTTAATATAAACGGCAAATCATTTATATACACTAAAAAGAGAAAGGGACCGAATATTGAACCTTGAGGAACGCTCGTATTCATCCCATAGCCCTGCGAGTTAATACCGTTAACATGAACCTTTAACTGTCTTTCTTCTAAATAAGATTTCATAAGACGGAGCGCAGAGTTTCTTATCCCGTAGTGATCTAATTTCAGCAAAAGTGTCTCGTGGTCAACGCAATCAAATGCCTTTGAGAGGTCACAAAAGATACCAATAGCATCCTGTGCTTCCTCCCAAGCACCAAATATTTCCTTCATCAAAGTGACACCGACATTTAGTGAAACCGTATTGTTGTTGGTAAAAGATAGAATGTTTATTAAAATAATGAAGCATCCGAGACAGCATCAACTTTTCAAAGACTTTGCTGAGAACCGGCAAAACAGACACTGGCCTATAGTTGTTAGGTTCTTTAGTGTCACTGTTACCACTTTTAAATAGTAGAATAACCTTACTATATTTCATTAGGTCAGTGAAAATACCGTCATTTATACATTTATATAGAAAATCACAGCCAGATATGGCGCTACAGTTTGAATGAGTGACTTGCAAACTTTTACCGATAGTCCCCATAGATCCTCCGTTGATTTGGTCTTGATTTCTTTAAAAACTTTTATAATTTCTAGAGGATTCGTATATCGAAAACTAAAGTCGTGTTGACATGATTCTATGTTGTTCTTAAACAAAGTTACAGATAGGTTTGCTGATGACTTTAAATGTTCAGTTGTTTTGATAGGAATGTTAGTAAAAAAAAATTCAATCTCCTGGGCTACATCTACGTTTGATGACATCTCCTGGGCTACATTTACTGTGCGACTGACCACTCTGTATGACCATAGACACCAATATAAACCGGCGTGAAACCACGCTTGCGTAGTGTTTATCGCGTGAGTGAGGTTACTAGAACATCGATTCTTCTCTCCCCCAATCTTCTCAATTCCCAACCTAAAAAATAGAGAATTGACAACCCCCAAAATGTCGGCAATGTCCTCGTAACTCTTGTAGCGTTGCGGGTGTCCATGGGCGGCGCTGATTGTTTATCATCAGGTGATCTGTCTGCTTGTTTGCTGGCCTATACCATAAACAAGTAATAGCTAATATGTATAGATATAACACAAAATACATATATGACTCACCCCATACAACTCTGCGAATAATAGCGCGAACACTGGCATAGTGGCCCCGACCAGTAGCGACGCTAGCGCCCCCCCTAGTAGCTGCGGCCACTCCGCCGCGTTCAGTTTCAGTAGATCCCAGCTAGATACTGAGGGACTAGTGTCCTCTTCTCCTTCCTCCGTGGACTGGACAGGGTCCTCCGAGTCCTCCGTGTCCTGGAGTGAGGAATATTTGTATTGTGTTTATGTTTGTTGGAGGTTAATGTGTTCAGAAAAGCATAACATTATTGTTACGAAATGCGTTGAGCCTAGGACGGGTCCTTGAGGTACACCATATAACGAGAATTTTATTTTATTCCAAGAAGTATAGATTTATGATTATTTAGTTTCTTCTACACCAAAAACTAAATCACGTATCACAAAAAAAAATGAATTCAATGTTTTTGTCAATCTTACCTATTCATTTCAGAACAGTTACACTATCAAAAGCCTTAAACAGATCTAATCAATTTTATGATACATTCAACACTACACTTATGTTTTAATAAAACAATATTTGCATTGTGTAATTGAGGTTACCGAAGGCCCCGTTGGTTGGCAACGTATTACTACCTCGTGTAGTGTAGCGGGTATAGTATACTTACAAGTTGCGCGAGCGCGCTGTGCGGTATGTGGGCAGACACCGAGCTCATGCGGATACTGCTGCGGGTGAAGTGGCGGGACGAGTCTGTACACACAGACAGGACAGACAGACAATTAATAATAATACAATAAATAGTAAGATGATTTAACAAGACGAGCTAAGACTCAATCGCCATCGCGGGCTACGAGCCTCTTCTAGATAAAAGGGGTTTTTAATAATCTCCACGTTTGGTGAGGTGGTTAGAGATTGACCAATAAAGTTTCTGACAAAACCGACAGTTTATTGTGTTTGCGTTTCTACAAACATCAATAAACGCGAAATTAATAATTTTGAAAACTTTCAGTAGCTATGTTTCTAAAATGATTCCTATGTAATTTTTACATACCTCTGACGGACTGTTGACTGACACCCCTCTTGAAGTGGGTGTGGTCGTCAGCAGTAGTAACGTCATCGTCGTCCTCCACAACCGGCTCTGAGTTCATCACATTCACACTCCTGAGGAGAAACAGATATGATATGAGCCCCAGTGTGACTTGAAAGTGGTTGAGCACACTCGAAAAGTTTCGTAAGTCAAGTCGTAAATACTGATTACTGTTGAACTAGCACGCTTAGCAATCAAGATGGATATCGCAGTTTGATATCCCTAAAAAGCCGTCAACACCCTTGTAACAACATTTCAGGTTAATTAAGGGAGACCTGAAGAGGTTGTTATTTGAACGCGCTAATCTCAGGAACTACTGGTCGGAATTGGATCATTCTTTTTGTGTCAAATAGTCAATTTATCGAAGAAGGTTACAGGCTATAAAACATTACTCTACGACCAATAGGAGCCGAGCAGCGGGCGAAACCGCGCGACAGTAGCTGGTAGTGGTACAGGCGCGTGGCTACGTACTTGGTGGTGAGGTCCTCCTGCAGCAGCGCCCAGTACAGGCCGCGCCGCGCCAGCAGCTCTGTGTGCGCGCCCTGCTCCCGCACCGCGCCCTGCTCCACGCACACTATGTGCTGCGCGGACAGACCTGCGGAATATGACATAATGTAACACAACTATAAAGTATATAGCTGTTCTTTTTTTGACAAGTCCGCCAAAACCTGTGCCCCAGGATCTACAACAGATACAACCATGAAATCACCGGGACACTGATGTTTAACATCCCAGGGACATGAACAACTGTCGTGGATCCCGCCACGAAATAAACCAGAAGATATTAATGGAGAAGGAAAATGCGATAGTTTCCACTTCCCTCGGAAAATTACTGCACGAGATAAAATTAAGTCCAAAAACAAAAGAGACTCTCCATGTGAGAGAAATCGGTGGACTCGTGCGGTGGCTCCAAGACAGTCGAGTAGGCCTGTACCCAGGCGATGTATGTACCTTGCAGGCGGTGCGAGACCTGCAGCGTGGTGCGGCCCCGCGCGGCGGCGGCGAGCGCGGCGGCGACGGCGCGCGCGGCGGCCGGGTCCAGCGCCGCCGTCGGCTCGTCCAGCAGCAGGATGGCCGGCCGCCGCACGATGGCGCGCGCGATGGCGATGCGCTGCTTCTGGCCGCCCGACAGCTGCGACCCGCCCGCGCCCAGGACCGTGTCGTAACCCTACACGGGACGAAACAAACCTTGTACACAGCCTCACATCGACATAACCAGTTCATCATGATTCCACGTTCTATAATCTTCCCGCATATTCAAAGATCAGCTCATACTGGTATACATAGCGATATGTACAGTGGGGGACAAATATGACTGATCATTTTAAAATTTATTACTTGAACTCAGCATATACACCAAACTACATCCCATAAACGTCTTATATAACTCAGTTAAGCAAACCGTGTAATCCTGCCGTAATGCGTTTGCTTTATTGGTCAATTCAGCAACATGGGGTTGGGGTAGAGAGCGGATCTCATCAAATGGAAGCAAACAGTAAATGGTGATCAGACGGTTCTGCCCCTCATTGTACATACTGCCTAAACGTACTTCATGCACATAGTGCATTCAAATAATTGTAAAAATTCTCACAAACCCAAAATAATATAGTATAATATGCGTATGCTTAACGAAACGAACAAACTTGACACTAACGCCATCTATTAATAGAATACCGACAACTTGTGACAAACAAAAAAACTATGCAGCAAAATGTAGTAGGTAAGTGATATTTTTTTACAAAATCATTAACTATTTTGGTCGAATTGTTACAAAATACTTACATTCGCAAGTTTGGTGATGAACTGATGCGCGTGCGCGGTGGTGGCGGCCTCGATGAGGTCATCTTCGGTGACGTCATCCATGCCAAGCGTGATGTTCTCTCGGATAGTTCCCGAGAATAACACCGGCTCCTGACCTACCACTCCTGTACAAACAAACAAATAATATTAAATAATGTTCGTACTTTGGTAGGTACTGCTTAAACCGGTTCCCCAACGTCTGTTCAATTTTAAGGAACCAGACAAGCGACACTTTATAACATTTTGATTCTCGCCAACGTTTTAGTGACAACTAATAGTACAGATAAGGGGTTAGTTTAGGTCTTCTCTTAGGCTACATAAGTTAAGTGATGGTTAGGCAAAGTAGTCATTACGTTCTTAATAATACAACATGATTGTTTCTTCTAGTTTTCCTCTCAAAACATTTTGTTGCTTTTCCTACCTACTATTGCTGACCACCAGGTGGTCCGTCAGCTCGCCTACCCAAGCAGTAGCTACGTACCAATGCTCCGGCGGAAGTGATGCAGGTCCAGCGCTTGCAGCGGGTGTCCGTCGACCGTGATGTGTCCGGAGTCAGGCTCGTACAGCCGCTGCAGCAGCTGCAGCAGCGTGGACTTGCCGCAGCCAGACGCGCCCACCAGCACCACGCTCTCGCCCGCGCGCACGCGCAGGCTCAGGCCGCGGAGGACCTGCAGATGTCGAAGTTAAAAGGTATTATTTCAAGTAATGCTCATTAGGCACTTTACAAATGACAGCATGTCATTTTCTTGTCCGTCAGTGAAGCTCACTACAGTATTTAGAAGTTAAGCCAGTTGAAGATTTACACTGTTATGCTTTCAATAGAGAGTGAATCTTCTCCTGGACAAGTAAGTTGACAGAACTACCAGTAGAATATTTTTTTTACGAGTCTCTGGTAATTTTCAGTGAAAAGAGTAACATGAGTGAATGACCATGTCATACAAAGAGTTGTTCCGTACGGAAATTGAACCCGTGTCACAGTCCGTAGATTTGTTACTTTTAGACATAATTTATATTCCAAAACAAGACATTTTAAACTGAAATGTTTATAAATGTAAGTATATTCTCACCTTGACGTCAGGCCGCGAAGGATAATTAAAGTATAGATTCTCAAACGTGATATCTCCACGGAACTTGTCAGGTTTGATCCCAGTCGACTCCAGCGCATTGATCTTTGACCGTCTCTGCAGCAGGCGGTAGAGGGAGCGGGCGGCGCCGCGGGCTGCGCTGAATGTTTCCAAGTGAGGCTGACACATTGCTATATTCTGAGCCGCCATGAACGTAAGGAATAGCACAGTGACCATGACTCCGGCATGGTATTGTTGTAGTTCGGGTTCGAGGTCCATGTCGCGGACGCATAGCTCCGCTCCGTAGGCGAATACGATGGCGTTGAGCGCGTACGTGAGTAGCCAGCCGAGGCCTGCGCCGGCGCCGGCCCAGGCGCCGCGCGCGCGCGCGTGGCGGGCGGCGGCGCCGAGCGCGCGCGTGTAGCGCTGCGCCTCGATGCGCTCGGCCGAGTACGCGCGCACGGTGCGGATGGCGGCGAGCGCTTCCTCCACAATGCGCGCGGCGGCGCCGTACGCGGTTACTTCGCGCGCGTTGCACGCGGTTTGGTACTGTGCGGAGATAGATCATATATATTGGTACAATACGAATTAATGTAACTTTACTAAAGGTAACAAATGGGACTCGAATCCATAATCTTTTATAACTAATGTAACAATTTTTTTGTGACATTATACTAATTTCTGATAGACTGTGACTAGAATCTACGCATATTAAGTGTATTTTGTATATCTATTGGACATTACCTTGGCCACTACCGCCTGTACAGCCAGTGAGACTGGCACTACAGACAGCCCCGCCAGTGCCAGCTGCCAGCCGTAGTGTAGCGCCAGTATGGCTCCCACTAGTACAGTGCCACACAGGTTGGCAGTCATTGCCACGTGCTCGCCCACTCCGCAGCGGAATTTCTCCATGTCCCTGTAATGTATATCGTGATATTAGTCCATAAAAGTTTGAGCCCCAAGATCATTACGGAAGGTATTTATGGGCAGACTTGTCTGACTGAATAAAACTATCATAGTATAATCAAAACGTTACACTTTTAAGACATAATTCATATATTTATCCCGATGAAATTGGGATTTAGATAATATTCAAACGACACAGACCATATTCAGCAAAACGTCTCTAGTCATTTATTCAAATAAAAAGCTTAAATTAAAAACTAACTAACTAAAAACTAACTATTACTTAAAAAAAAACCTCAAAAACAGCAAAACGTCTTGGCTATTAGCACTACAATTTCAATAAATGATAACAACGCCATCTGTTATTAATATCCGGTACTAAACGAACAAAGTATAGTATAGTGGTGCGGTCACTCACTCTGTGAGCGTGGTGGCGAAGTTCATGCTGGTGTTAGTGTCGAAGAACGCGATCTCCTGACTGATCACTGAGCGGAGGAGGCGGATGCGGAGCCGAGTTACCTGGAAGGCAGATAATTATTTGATTATACGTACTAAGAGAAATATCATGAGGTGGCGGGAGAGTAGACATTTATCTGCACCTCTACTGTTGCCGCGGGTGTCGCAACAGTCGACTAATGGACTACACAGTGACAGATCGGGCATCAACAAAGAGAAAAACATTTTGATTGTACTAAAATAGTGACTAAAATTGGCAAATTGACACTACCTATCTGCAGTACTTTAACTGCAATCTCCAAAGAATCCACCAAGCGTGGAGATTATAGCAAATCTTGCGTAAGATCTGTGTATGCACACCCACAGGACCCAAAAAAATGAATTGACAAAATAAAAGTATCTCAATCTACATCGCCACGGAGTATGTAAGTGTCAGAGTGCTCACCATCCGCGCGGACGCCCACTGCAGCAGCGCCACAGCGAGGGCGGCGGTGGCGATGTGTAGCGCTATGACGGCCGCGCTCGCCCACGCGAACGCCGCGCTGTCCTCCAGCAGCGCGTCCATGTGCAGCGACCTGTTGCCTGCGGGCCTGGAATATGACATTAGTACATTATACACTGCAAAAGTAGTCTTATCTCCTATTGGTGATTGGTGACACACGCTAATGACAAGAACAACTATCTATCATGTCATTTGCAAGTATTTGAAGGTTTCTCTTAGATATTTTTGTATTTTGATATAATTGTAAACACGAGATTGCTAATTCTTTAGCCTTCTGTTAGTTACTAGTCCTGGTGGATAGTTTATTCAGCGATTTCACAACAATTAAATGTTTTATTTTAGCTAGTGAAATAATCAGAAAGTACATTAATTGATCGTTAAAAATGAAATAGGCTAAAGTAAATAAAATAACGTACAACAGCCGTCCCCCTCCGAAAAACGTGAGCATGTATATGTCAGCGGGCGCGGGCTGCGCGGTGTGTCGCTTCACGAAGAGCGCCGTCAGCTCGCCGTACAGCACGATGCCGGCGATGGTGCCCAGCGAGCTCAGCACGCCCACGCACACGCCCAGCACTGACACCAGACGCTCCAGCAATGTCGCGTACCGCCACTGTACACAAACACAACACATTATTATCACCATACCTATAAGGACATCTACTGCCTCACGTAGTCCTCTGCAATGACTTCCACAAACAGATCAGCTTATTGAAGATCCGAAATGATCGAGATAATAACAATGAAGTCAGTCAACAACATAGATGGCGTTGCGATCGTATTAGATAATTTCACATCATAATTTCTCTGTCGAAATCTTAAAGGACTCTTGAACATACTCAGTTACTCAAAATGGTTCTGACTAAGGTGGAGCAAACTAGTTGAGATAGCAATTAGTGCATCTTATTAACGGCAATTAGTGAGCCTGCAATACTGCTGTTATTCTTTCTGCTACATATAATCATATCATTGAGTAACTGTCAGATGCTGTGTGATGTGTAACCTCGTTGCAAAATGGCGGATGTGATCGGAGGGACACAATCAGATGTTGCAAGTGCTGTAGCCTTTATCAGATCTGTGATACACCATAAAGAAATTATAGTCTTCGGTTTATATCAAGTTAGTAGAAGCTCCTTTGTCCCTCGGTAACTATACAGGAACCACAGAGCGCCAAGTACTACGATCCTTACATGCGGTTATTCTGCTAGTACATTTATTGAATTTATAACGTTCCATAAATAATACATTTGTTCAGTTAAGAGTCAAAATATAAACGACCTATAAACGTAAAGATCTCTGTGCGAGCCTGCAATAGCTCACACAAGAGGAATGTCAATAGAATGTCACGGGAAGATTAATTAGAGAGAGTTTGTCAAATAAATTATACGTCAATACAGGTTGAATGCTTTTAATGCACTGTCCAACATGCGCTTGTAAAAATGTACATATTAATTAGGCCGATGTGGCAATAACACTCGACAGTTGAAAATGCAAACAAACAAAAATATAATGAAAATGGCTTGTACATATTGCCAACAACGAAATACCGCCAAAATAAAAAAATACAAAAGTAGATTAGTTAAAAATTAAGCCAACTACGATTAAGGTTCAGGTAAATTATCAAATTTAATTGTCTTGTTCATAGTGGGGGACGTAGCCCTATGTACACCGAGTCTTGAACCACTAATTTCGCGAGAGATTGACTTAGCGGTGTGTCGCGCACTCACACCACTTTCATTCACTGTATCACTCACTACACTGTCTTGACTCCGACTGATTGTCACCATTGACGATCCAGCTCCCTGGGCTGCCAGATGTTGCTGCTGCGGCGTGCGTATTGGTCTGGTTGTCCACCACTTCCTTCCGAATCTCAATATAGCATATGCCATGACAAATAGGACCAGCGGAACCAAAATTGAGTAGATAACTGTATAATGCGAGGTACCAGTCATACCGTCAATTCCTTGCAGGTTTTGTTGTTTCAATTCTTCTATTTGCCGCTTTATAGAGTTGTAAAGTTCATTGTGATTTTCTGTCCTCATTTCTATAGGATTTTGAAGAACTGAAGAATTCAAGATATTATTCAAGGCCGATATAGGCTGTGTTGTTGGTATGTCAATCAGCGGTTGCAGGAAAATTTTGTTGTGATAATCATGGTAGGCTTGTATGGTAAATGTGTCTCCTTTAATGAGACATCCTTGACCTACAGTAATTATACCATTGTCATGCAGTTGTTTTGTATCAAGACCACCTGGGCATAAAATGCGAATTCTGCACTCCCGGCAACATGAGTATAGCCACGCGCCCGGTGATTGTAACTTGATCCAGTTGTGTGAACATTGTCTGAGCTCTGTCCGACAAAATGAGTCATTATTATTATTATACAGTTTGAAATACCTAGATGGATAGGAAATACAGAAAAATCTATCCAGCTGCATGGATTTTCTGACGCTTCGGAGAAGGCCATGGCTTGTGCGGTGTATACTAGGACAATGGATGACAAGGGTAAAATATTTCTGAGATTACTGGCTGCAAAAACAAAACTTGCACCAGTCAAAAAGCCCTTAACGCTCCCCCGTTTAGAGCTTTGCGCTGCAGTTTTATTGACAAAGTTATTAAACAAGATAAAAGTATCGTTGCCAGAAAATATGACAGTCGACGTTTGTGGATGGACAGATTCCATGGTAGTATTGGGATGGCTACAAGGTGATCCGTCGAGGTGGAAAACGTATGTCGCAAATCGTGTTCGGGAAATAATTAATATTCTACCTGCTTCTCGTTGGCGACATGTCAAATCGGAGGAAAATGCAGCAGATTGCGCTACCAGGGGATTACACCCATCGCAAGTATTATATAACCAACTGTGGTGGGAAGGACCGTCCTGGCTGAAGAATGAGAAAGAGATCTGTGCTGAAGTACCACCAATTGAGCCACCCAATATTGAAGTTAAAAATGCTAAATCAGTATGTACACTGCAATTAATTACGCCGTCTATTATAATTGAATTATTAAATAAATGTAGTAATTTGACACGAGGAGTGAGGATCATGTGTTGGATATCACGATTCATACAGCACACGCGACGTAACAATAATAAACCATGTGCGCACTTAAGTGCAAGTGAAATGAGATCAGCCTTACACAGCATAATTAAAGCTGTACAAGTCCAACACTTTAGCGAAGCTATAAATAGTATTCTAAAGGGTAAATCTATCTCCTCTAAAAGCACGCTGTTGACATTAAATCCGTTTTTAGATAAATTTGGAATTTTACGAGTTGGTGGGAGATTGCAACACTCTAAATTGACATATGACAGAAAACATCCCATTCTACTGCCAAACGATTCTCACTTAACTCAACTTATCATTGATGAAGCGCATAAAGCTACCCTACATGGCGGTGCTAACCTGACATTAGCCTATACTCGATATAATTATTGGATTATCTCGGGGACTAGAGCCGTGAAAAAGAGGATTCGCCAATGTATTCAATGCAGACGTCACAGTCCTCAAACTCCACATCAACTTATGGGTAATCTGCCAGAGCCTAGAGTGACACCCTCCCGCCCCTTTACGCACACCGGCGTGGACTTTACTGGTTTTGTGAATATAAAGGCGAATAAAGGGCGAGGTATTAAAACCATCAAAGGGTATATAGCCGTCTTCGTCTGCTTTGCAACGAAGGCTATACACATAGAATTAGTGACAGATTTGACCACTATGTCATTTTTGGCGGCCTTCAAACGAATGTGTGCACGTCGTGGAGTACCTAGACATGTATACTCTGACAATGGTACTAATTTCGTTGGTGCAGCAAAAATACTGAACAGACAGCACAAGGAGGCTTTGAACGTCATCAACACCGATTTCTTAGAGGACATCAGTGGTATGGGAGTCACTTGGCATTTCAATGCGCCAGCATGGCCAAGTGCCGGTGGTCTTTGGGAGGCCGCTGTAAAAAGTGTTAAACACCACCTGAAACGCATTATAGGAGAACAACAGTTAACATTTGATGAATTCTACACGTTATTAGCGCAAATAGAAACATGCGTCAACTCGAGGCCACTATATGCCCTGACAGAGAATGTAGAAGAGGAGGTTTTGACTCCGGGACACTTTTTAATAGGGGGTCCATTGTTATTGACGCCTCTAGAAAATCCGAAAGAACCTATCAACCCACATACGCGTTGGCAGCTAATGCAGAAAATGCACGTGTCATTTTGGGACAAATGGTCGAAAGAATATCTCCACCGCCTACAAACACGCTGTAAATGGTATCAAACCAAGCCAAACTTACAAATTAATGACATTGTCTTGATCAATGAAGACAACATGCCACCGTCTAAATGGGCAATGGGGAAGATAACAGAGGTACATGAAGGAAAAGATGGATGCGTTCGTGTAGTAACAATAAAAACAAAGAATGGATACCTAAAACGACCTATTATCAAATTGACACCGTTACCGGTTTATTCGGATACGAGTAAGGCTATTACAAATGACACAGAACAGAAAAATGATATTAAACATGGGGGGAGGCCCAAACGTAACACAAGAAAACCAAAACAACTTAACTACTTGGTAGCTATCTTAACAATGTTCATGACATTGATAGTTCCTTCGCTGCAACACAGTTTTAATAACACCGTCTTTAATACAACCAACACTCTATATTTTGACAAAGTCGCTGACATGAGAGTTGTTCAAGATCAATGGAAAATGATAGTTTATTACAACATGACAAAATACTGGCAAAACATGGCTGACATCCAAAATTACATTATGCATTTGAAAAGCGTAGAAAAGGATGAATTAATGTTTCAACCGATTATATCGCAATTCGAGCATGAACTGAATGAAATAAATTATTACAATGAATTATTGCAGGCTAAAAGTCAGACACGGGTAAAGAGAGGCTTAATAAATGCTATAGGTAATGTTGCAAACTCATTATTTGGGGTTTTAGATGACAAATTTGCGGAAAAGTACGAAAGAGATATTATGTCGATCAAATATAATGAAGATCATTTACTAAAGATGATACGAAATCAGACCTCTATTTTGGAAACTGAAAACAACATCTTGAAACGTAATGAAGATATAATGAATAGTCACTTCCAGTACATTAACGAATATTTAAATGATATGACGTCGGCGATTAACAACGTGCGAATAGTAACAGATAATCAATTGCAAATTATAACAATGGCACTCTCAGTTAATGTCATTTTATCTAATTTAAGAAGAGTTCAAGACACTTTACTTGAGACCGTTACAAACATACATCATGGGCGACTTGACATGCATTTAATATCACCTGATGAACTGCAAAATCAACTCAATCTCATTGCTGGACGACTTCAAGGGGAATTAGTAATACCACACAATAATGAAAGGGAATTATATCGTCTCATGCAAATGCGGGCAAAAGTGACAAAAGCATTCCTAATTATAGAAATCAAAATTCCATTATTAAGTCAGAACCTATTCGAACTTAATAAAATAATCCCCCTGCCACGAAAAGTGAATGACAGCATCCTCTACAATATTCCCATTACTCCCTACATCGCAGTGAACATGAAAAAAGATATGGTTATACCCATGACTGAGACCGACCTACAAACATGCAAACGGTATCTAAACGAGATGTTAATATGCTACGAAAGTATTCCCATACTTAATGTCCACCTTGATAGGTCAATATGTGCAAT